GAGAGAGAGAGAGAGAGAGGCAACGAGAATCGGCGGTGGGTTTCGAGAAAAAAATCGGGGGGGTGGGAGCTGAGTACTCTCGCAGAGACGGAGGGCGAAATAATCAGGCTGCCAGATTTCGTTGTAAATTCTTCCGGCTAAGAGAAGGAGGTCATGCACGGACGCCAGGTCGCCATCACCCTCTGGCATCAAGAGTCAGCGACAGGCCTTAGAGCTCGTTCTTTCCCTAACGATCACGCATCGGAAAAAAAAAGTCTACATCTCTCCACTGGGCTCTCACGTGCGACCACGCTTCCTCGTTCATCATCACCTGTCGAAGGCGGCAACATTCTTGCCGATGTCGAGGTACGCCTGCTGCCTGTTGCCCAGGGAAAAGTATTCGGCCGCCGTGATGATGTCTATCCCGTGGGCTACACCACCGCCTCCTCCGTCACTCCAGCCGCTGCCGTCGTGCTCGCCGGACTGCTGCTGCCCTTGACGTCCCACGTTTTCCTGAAGAGGAAGGCAAATCCGACGCGGGGATCGGAGTGAATCGAGAGTACCCGAGTGAGTCGAGAGGCGTACGCGAGGACGGTACACGAGTGGATGGAGAGGATAGAGGAGTGAATCGAGGGGGTACAAAGGTACACGAGTGCATGGAAAAGGTACACGAGTGAATGGAGAGGGTATACTAGCAAATCGAAAGGGTAAGTGAGTGAATCGATAGGGTACGCAAGTGGATGGAGAGGGTACATGAGCGAATGGAGAGGTCATACCAGTGAATCGATTGGGTACGTGATTGTATTCAGTGGGCACCACAACGACGAACGAACTAAGGAGGAGGAGGGAGCAGGGTCACGCGCTGACGGGAGGCATCGGTCGCTCGGGGCAGTCCACGGACGATCACACGGAGTGGTGATCTACGAGCTACTCAGAGGCCAGGGGGTACCCCTCGCCTGCAATGCTGCAGCCGCCGCTCGACGGGATGGTGGTCACCACAGCATAGCGACGCAATTGACTCTCATCATTGCTATCCCAGCGGTGGTCAACGCCAACAGGAGGCCGGGTCGAGGGGGGTCCCTTACCTGCAACGCCGCCGCCGCCGCTCGACGAACGTTCACTTCCCGGTCGAAAAGCGCGGTAGACAGCATCGAGTCGCACAGTCCAGGCAGGTGGGGCCCGAGCACCTTTGAACGAGGAGGGACGGCCTCGTCAAGGTTTCAACGTGGAGCTTGGCTGAGTGGCACAGCAAGGCAAATACTGCGAGAAGTCTATCAACCCAGACAGTAGCAACTTCGGGACACGTGTTGAGCAGCGTAGTGACATCGAAATCCATCGTTCCAGTGATCGATTTCGGAGGGGCTTCACGTTATCGTCCTCCCAGATCAGCGCAAAAAAACGCCTCACCCGCGGAGAGTAGGCGCGCGCGAAGGCCCAGCAGACGTAGCAGGCCGCGTCTCGGACGTGGGCACCGACCCCGCCCGCCCCGCGCCGTACATCGTAGGCCAGAGCACGCCTCACCAGGGGGCAGGCCCGCGGCAGTCTCTCCGGGAGGAGCAGCCCTCGCCTGCACCAATGGGCGGTGGCGGCGGGATACGGCTTGTTTTATTTTGATCGGTTTCCGAGGGCTCTTTTCTCGAATGGTCGGTGCGGTAGCTGTTCTTTTCTTTTTATCATTGTGTTTTCTTTTTCCGAGTGGTTTGTACCCTATTTTTGTTTTGTTTCCCCGCGGCGTCGTATGTGCCGGGTTTTGAGACCACGGGCTCCCCATTTTTTATGGACTACAGAGCTAATGCGTGAAACAACAACAACAACAACAACAACAACATGGGGGATGCCAGACAGAAGCGACGGCAGAAAACGGAGGACAAACAGGATTGCCGGCCGGCCCGACAGCGCGATCACGCCATATGATCGGGTCTCGTTGTGGTTCGCGCTGCATTCGACGACCAGCCCACACGGCACGCACCACGGCCGTCACACACATTCACGCCTTACAACACTAGCGTCTTCGCATTGGTCAGCCGGTTAACGGGGAACGATGTTTGAAATTACACACGCAGAATCAAGCAGGTACTGGTACTTGGCGTCTTCTCATTGGTCGGCCGGCTAGCGCGGTTGATGCTCAAATTACAGACGCGGAGACAGACAGGTACGAGGCTGGCAGGCAAGCATCCAATCAGATACAAACACCGATGTAGCGGGACGGAACAAGCAGCAAAACAACAAGAACAAGAACAAGAACAAGAACAAGAACAAGAACAAGAACAACAACAACAACAACAGTAACAAGAACAACAACAACGACAGCACCGCACGCTCCAACCGACCAATCAGGGAACGAGCGCAACATGCGCGGGATGGGGCCGAGAAGATGACACACAAATACCGGCGCGGTCTCAAGCGGCCACGCATCACTCCTGTCACCTGGCAAGCTCCGCCAGGGCGAGGCACCCGCCGTGCCACGCGCCGTCCCACTCCGCCTCCACGAACAGGTCCAACACGCTGCACACCACGTCGTCCGCTACGGTACCGTGCGGTGAGGTCCAATAAAAAAAGGGGGCAAGAGGCCGGGTTCGGGGAGCCCGATGGATTGTTGATGTCGAAGGAAGCGGACGTGGACAACACAACAGCAGCAGCATCAGCAGTGGAACGCATCGCGTAAAAGCCACAGCAGGTGCTCGGTCCGGAGATGCCCGCCACACCGTGCGCGGCACTCAGTCGAATCGCAGGTTCAGGCGAATTTTCACCGAGGCTGTATCTGTTTCTTCCAAGCACCGAAGATCGTCAGACCTTGCTCGGAGACCGTGGGCACCGGAAGGGCGCAACCTTCCAGCACCAACACCTACACCAATAATGCAAAAAACACGACACAACCACCCCCGGCCCCCCGCGAGGCTCGGCGCTCCTACACATCACCGACGCATTTTCCCAAGCTTCCCCCCCCGCCAGTGGCTCGTACCTAGCTCCCGCGGGAGTCTCTCGGTGATCCTCCCAATCCCCTTCGCTGCCGACCAGCGCACCACCGTGTCCCTGTCCCTTAGCCCGCACAGCAGCGCCTCCACGATGTCCTCCAGCTCCTCGGGGACGCCTACCTCATCTTCCTCCTCTGCAACAGCGTCAACTTCGTTGACGTCCGCCTTCTCCTGAGCCGAAGCCCCGTCCCGCGCTACCCCTACCCCCTTAGTTGAAATCTCCTCTGCGTCACCTCCGCTCCCGTTCGTCTCCACAGTCTGCCCTTCCTGTCTGTCCAATGGCTTCTCCTCCACGCTTGCCGCCTGTCGTTCGTCTGGACAGCAGTCTCCACCATCGGATGCTGCGTTCGGTGTAGACGCGAGATTCTACGCGCATAGGGGAGAACAGGAACACATGAAGCCCGGAGATGCAAGAATGTTTGAGCACGCTCAGCCAGGCCAGCCTTGTGCGCCCTTCCGGGAACGTCAAAATGGTCCGGAATAGAACTACCGCGGACGAAGGCAGGTCTTGATCCACAACGATAGGCAAGTTCAGAGTCACACATAGCCAGGGTAGGGCACAGGCGCCCCAGCGGGCACAACCCCCCCCACCCCCACCCAAGAAGCCCCCACCACGCACCTGCAGCAGAGACCGCTGTCCACGGCGGTACCTCCACGCGATGACGCGCGGGGGCACGTAAGTCGTCCCCACTCTCTGCAAAAGCTTCACCAGCATCTTGCGCAGGAGTGTCTGCCCCGGCCCCACCTCCGCCAGGCCAACCACGGGGTAGAAAACCACCGGAATGAGGTCGATCAGCTTCTCCCTGCCCGACAACGAAAGCGACGCGGTACGCACATAGGTGACGTCACCATCCCACGCCAGCCCAAAAATGACCAAAGGAAGACCTCGGTTCGAGCGGGCGCTGCTGCTACATACCCACCCGCGTTTTCTTCTTCGACAACGTACAGGTCGAGTACCCCGTACTCCCTGCGGCGTGCACGCCTCGTTGGGATGGCACGACCACGCGGCGGCCACATCCGTCGGTCCCGAGAAAATCTTTCCGACCCCTGATGCGACCCCGAAAACCGACGCCCGAGCTGTGCGACCTCCAGCTCAGCCCGCCGCCAGGACAAAAGCGCTCCATGAACGCGGAGTATCCCCACCACCCCCGCTAGCTCCAAACCCCAGGCTCGGCTCACAACCACAGCAGCGTTCAACTAGAGCTCGGTTATCCCCAGGACCACTGCCACCTGCCTCTTCCCCACCTCGGCTCGTCACCTCAACAGCGCTAAACGAGAGCTCGGGTACCCCCACGACCACTGCTATATGCTCAATACCCAGTTCGGCTCGCTACGTCAACAGCGCCACGAAAGAGAACGGAGAACCCTACCCCCACTCCCACCCCCGACACTACCGCCCCCAAACACCAACGAGAAGGAGAAGCAACCAACCTGTGCCCCTGCTTGAAGAGGGCAGCCAGGGTGGCCATGACGCCCATCACCAGGAAGGCAAGCTTGCTTAAGCCCTCCTCCCCTGCCCGCCCCTCCGCCGTCACCCGCTCCAGCACAGACGCAGACCACTGTAGCACCCACACCCGGCCAAGAAAACAACCACGCAACAAAAAAAAACAAGGGATCGAATGCAGTGTTCGTTCAGAGGTGGGAACTTTGACGCACAGCAGCCCACCAGCGCACAGAAATCAGCGCTCTGGCGCTTCGATGCCTGCCGACGAGAGACACAAACCAAAACGTTTCACTAAACAGCTGTCGGCCAGCTTCGCTTCGGCGCTTCGATGCCTGCCGACGAGAGACACAAATCAAGCGTTTCACTATACAGCTGTCGGCCAGCTACCACCGGACGGGCGTCTGCATGGTCGAACAGCAGTCGCATTCCGAGGTCCGCGACGCGTTGCGACAGTGCTTCCGGATGAAATTCGATAGTCCCCGTACTCAAGCGCTCGCCGCCGGTGAGGAGGGAAAAGCATGGCAAACCAACGCAAACCCAGCCCCCGTAACCTCCCACCTCACGCCTCGCACGCTGGCACCTTTCAGGTATAACTCGTGGAACACTTCAGGTAGCGCCTTCCAAAATCGGACATCATGTGCGATTGCAGCCAAAACAAAGTGGGTAACGTGCAGGCTAGAGAGCACGTCAGAACACTGAGAAGAAACACTAGAAATGATCATCATGTTGCCACACCAGCAAGGCTTGAGCACAGATGCCGCCTGGCTCAAAACATATCCCAAATTGATATCGCTGAAATCGCACTTCCGACAGCACTCAACCGCCGAGCAACAGTCAAACGCGTGTGGCTGCACACTGCCCGTCGAAGATGTCGAGCTTCTCTACTGCCCGTCGGTCCAACGGGTCCCCCGTACCTCCAAGAAACGCCGCAGGTGAGCTGCCTCCATGTCCGGGCGCGTAAGAAGACTGCTCAGGCATGCCGCTGCGGCATCCCTGGTGTCCGGACACAAGTTGATACAATAGAAAAAATATGCATTGGGATGAAGAGAAAAACACCAGACCCGAGAACTAAACAAGCTCGCCCACAAGGCAAAAAAACTAGATTAGCTTCGTACAAGAGAATCGAGAGGCGAGGCCTAGGACCGAATGTTGGCAGCGACCGTTTGTTAGGGATTCAAAGCAGCAGCAGCAGCAGCAGCAGCAGTAGCAGCAGCAGCAGCAGTAGGATGGACCCAAGAACGCCGTACCGTAAGCTGTACGCCCCCCGAGCACCACACTGTTCTCGTTCCTCTGTCGCAATGACCCCGAACTGCCGCGGTTGCAACTGCAAAGCACGGACAAAACTGCGCAGCCGTCACGACAACCTACTACGGCATCATCCTGCATCGACGTAGGTTACTCAAACCTTGTCGGTCCGGCATCGCCGAGGTGCCTTATGCCCAGCGCAAGAATGGTCCCGACTAGGTCCGCCTGCCGCTCCCCGACTCCCGCCACGGGAGCAACCACCCCCTTGGCCCCGTCCGCCCCTTCCTCATTTGCCCCCCCTCCTGGTGGCACAGAATCCCGAAGGCTGGAGTCGATGGTGTCGATGTCGAAGGGCACGAGCGAGAGCATGGAGAGCCACAGCAACAGCCCGTAGCGGGTCTCCCACGTGGAGTAGTCGTCGGTGTCCTGAGGGTTTGTTGGGGTGAATATGAGATACGGCTAGCTGCAGGGCCGTGTAGCGCCTGGACGCGACCCTGCGACTTCTTTCGAGAAAGAAACGACTCACACAGCAAGGCAGTAGGCCTTGTACGCTCTTGTCTTTACCCTGGTTTGAGCCCTAGCCGTAACCCAAATAGCGCCCATTGATATGAGGTCGGTTTCGACCAATTGGTAAGCACTGCTGAGCGCCGGCATGCCATAGCTGTTTGAGTTTTGATCAACGTGTTGTCATCTGCACGAGCAGTGTTGGGTCAAAATTGCGCTTCATGTGATGTTTTCGTTCGCTGCTATTGATCAAAGGCAAATATATAAAACTGCTGCCGTTGCCATGAAGCAATACACAAGAATGTGTTTCACCTGAGCCTGCAAGGCGTGAATAACCGGCTCCAGGTCGGCCGCTTCGTGAGGCATCAGGCGCGCCACCGCCTTTGCTCCCCTCAGCCGACACAGCTGGTAGATCATGCAGAACATCGAGTGGAGCTGGGGGCAAATGAACACCTGTTTTCATGCAGGTCGCGGCGAACGAATTTCAAGCAAAGGGGCCGCGTGGCACGAACGAAGGGTTGGTGGGCGGTAGCGGGGGACACATTTTTCCTGCCACATGCTTGAAGAATCGCATGCCCATCACACCACCATTGTTTTTCGCATCAACAAAGGCGTGTGTGAAACGGCCAGCATTTCTCGAGGGGGTCAAACCTCACGTCATGATGAAACTGCGCAATACTGGTCGTGCTCATGCAACGGTTTCGATACTACTCGCACTGGTGTCGAAATGGGACGTTCCAGGTCGACAAAGGTCTTCTCACCAGAGCTGACGAAGAGCTGGAGACCCTCAGCCCCGCGGCGTGCCACCGTCATCAATACGGCCACACATAAACCGCGCGTTCACCTTTCAGAGCAGATGGTGCCGCGGCGTTACGCCCGGCCGTCTCTGCTCTAGGCCAATAAGCAGGGTTTGGGGGAAATCAGAGCTGCAAGCGTCGCGCACAACCTCAAAAAAACCCAACAACACCGGCAGCTGCCCCCGCCCGTACAGCTCGCCTGAAAAGGAAAGGCCTCCCCAGGCCGTCCCCTGCTGCCGCCGCCAGACTCCGCCAGCACCTGCTCTTCCCTCTCAACCACCAACTCCTTAGCCCTGCCCATGACGATTGCCATCATGTCCTCCAGGTGGGGATCCAGCAGGTGTGGCTGCTCGAGGTACTTTTCGAGCGCCCCTTTGACCGCCTTGAGGATGCCTTCACGACCTGGGAACCCGGACGGGAAAGAGCGTTGAGCGGACAGGAAACGTGCTTGTGCTGCTCAATGGCGTGAGCGTGTCGGGCGGACAGGAAACGTGCTTGTGTTGCTCGATGGAGTCACATCTAGTGCAGCGCTGTTGGTTTAGGCCTGAGCGCACCGATGCAAGCTGACTATTTAGCTCCTGCTTGCCCCTGCCAATGCGCCTGTAATCGTAGCCTTCATTACAGCCAGCCTTTGCATTACATACAGATACGCTCAACCGCTGGGAAGGTTGCGGGAGTTCTACGCGACAACTCACTGAGGCTGTTGACGAGACTTGAACGTACGCAGTGGATCAACGCAGGGTAAAATCGGTTGTTTTTATCCTGGTCGCCGCACGTGTGGCGTCCTATAGATTGATGTGTACGCATACATGTGTGGAGACTACCCGTGCATTTTGCGTGTGTAGTTGTGCGGTGGAATAAAGCAGCCTTGCGGTCTTTTCGCAAGATATGACCGAATAAGTACATGGAGTGCCAAACCTGCTACAGGCTGACTCTCTTGCCCTACGCAAGCAAGTTGTGCAAGGTGTCGTTGGGACAACACAGATCACTGCACCTACTGACCAAGACCTGCACCGCCTGAAGCCAGACACCAGCGCTTCGATACTATAGCTTCCCCTCTTTGCCTACTACAGTAAGCATTTCGTACTGCGGTAACCACCACTGCCACGCTGAATCTGAGAGCAAGGGTAAGGATCCGTATCCATCGCCGTGTTTGAATACTGCCGTGATTCAGACACCTTGACGAGGGAAACAAGAGAGATGCAACAACCAGCGAGGACACCTACAAGCACAACAACAGCCAATCCTCTACTCTCTTGCCTTTAGCCCCTACTCCGGCCATTGGCCGCCAAGCTCGTTGTCGATCGACAAGCACAATGCCGTTGCTACACTACAACGCTGTAGCCGCATAGCTCTTGTACACCTACCTGCCAGATCGAGGTCCGTAGCCACCAGCTGTTGAAGCATTCCCATCACCTGTTCCCTCTCAGCGAAGAGGACTCGTTCGCACGTAGCATGACTGTCCTCCATGCTTCCAACAAGCGGGTGTCGCGGCTGCGGTGCTGGTAGGAGTCAAGCAATAGTTGTGCCAAGCAAGCCAGCAGCTGCTCAGCAAGCTTCTAGCCGGGTAGGGGCGCCGTGGTTTCAGCAAACCTTCAGTCGGGGGGTCTTTCCTCTCTTGGGCTGATGCACCGGGGTTGCACACACCTTGGCACCACCTTTGTGTGCAACTACCAACAAAAGTAGCATCGTATCATCACAAAAGGATCTTTTTCCACCAGGGACTGCGCTTTGTAAAGGCTTCAACACACCTCCTTTGAGTTATCTCAAACGCAAGGTCCTTCTGGCTGGGTGTATACGCTCCAGATGGTCGAACGAAGAGAAGTGAATGTGGTCGTCCGCGCTAGCTCACGGGGAGACGTCCGGTAAAATCTGCTGAGTTCGTTTCGCTGTGGAGCTTGTGATTGGAGGCGAACCCTGGCGTTGAATGTGGCTATACTTCATCAGATGAAACCGGACAATTTCCAACTAAAAAACAAGGGTGTCGGAGAGCAATGTAGATTGGCAGTAGGGTACTGATGATTGACTTTCGTCATTCGGACGTTTGCCCCCGCCGCTGTCCAGTTGTACTGACGCGATGAGGCGATAAACCAAGGCAGTCCTGTGCGCACAAGACGCATCCACCCGGTGTCCTGCAAACAGTCGGAATCTAATTAGCAATTGTGTGCCACTGCTGTAGCATCCTGACACGTGGGGTTCGACTCCCAATTCCTCGGTCATAAGCGACGATGTCGTGTGGACACCTCCCTTCTGACTTACACCAAAACTTTGAGAAACTCGCGGTGGCCCCCAAACCGACCAGCAGTGTGTGCCCTCTCATCCCGTCCTCTATTCATATAATGAAAGTGAACTTCCACAGCTGAATAGAGCAACTACCATTGCACGCTACACGTCACCCAGCATCCCCCGCCCCAAAGTCTGAAACAACGCTTCGCAGGGTGACAGAGTTGTTACCGTTTGAGGTATAACCCTTCGGTGCCGTCGCCACCAACACCAGCGACAAAACGGCCACTGCGTGGGGACGTGAACACGGCCCGCAGCAAGTGGAATGAGGCACCGCACCCACTCAACATTCACTGTGCATCCTCCGCCGCCCAAAGGTCGAACCACGGTCATGCTCGGGAAAGTTGGCAACAACATGAACTTCAATCTTCCATTGCCACCCCCCCCAAATCGTTGATTACCAAACGCGAGGCCCAATGCAGCCTTTTCAAATCGGTGTAGTATCCTTGTCTACAAGGAAGAATGCCACCAAATGAACCCATTCGACCAAAAAGGCTGCTGCCGCGTGTGGCCTTCTCGCCAAGGGCCTACATGGAAACGAGAACATCGTCGCCTGGACTTCTCTCCCTTGTCACGCACCCTACTACTCATGTTTCGCTCTCCTCCTCTTCCGCGTCGAGCGAGTGCATGGTGAAGTGGTTGTTAGTGTACACGCAAAGCTCCGATGCAATCTGCCGGTCATCAAAAGGGCGTACGTGGGCCGGAGACATCAACAGTTACTGGTCCGAGAGTGAAGCACACCCTCAAAACACAATTCTTGCTACCATGACGTCACCACACAATCTGGAGGGAAATAATTAATTGTTTCAACGAACGAGACAGCTTCGTGAAAGGGAGACAACCTCGATATTTTGTGTGAACAAGGACAGCAGTTGCGAGTTCATAAACCGAATTTCTTGACAACATTGAAAAAACGCTCAGAGCCTTCATGCAGGGAACTTCAATCCGTGGTCAACCCGGAGGGTCCTCTGCATGCAGAATAATCTACCCCGACCTCCCCAACACCGCCAACAACTTTATCGCCAACGCCGGCGAGAGTGACACACCTCCATCGACTTGCGGGCTACCTCCTCCGCGCTGAGGTCATCTTGCCCAGAGAGAGCTCGCGCGGCCGCTGAAAACAGAGCCGGTAATGCACAAATGGGGGCGAGAGAACGGGTGCGATTTAGGGCTACGGCCGCAGTCCGACCAGGAGGGGGCAAAGAGACTACACGATTTGTGTGGTAGGTTTTCGAGCTCTTCCGAACGCACAGACCTATCGAAGCGTCCTTCTCCTGCTAAGTACGTCGATATGAATCCTGGTTCCCAGCTAGCAATTGCTGACAGCTTGCTGTTCGTGCCACGAGTACCCTCATAAAGCACAAACGATTCCTAGCGAATCGTTCACCGTCGGTTTTGCTTCATACCCCCATCCCCGAACCGTGGGTGGAGAGGTGCAGAGCATCATTGCGTACCGTATGTCGTCTGTGTGCTGTGTGAATGTGACGCTCTCCATTACGATCAATAACTTGTGACCATATAACTCTTGTCAGCGTAACTTGTGAGCAGACAATTGCCCGTCGAATCGTCGGAGTCGGCACCATACGCCGCTACTGCTGTAGGAGACGCACAACAACACCACAGTGTCAGTTACCGATGCACGACTTGGGAATATGAACTCTCGGTCACTGTCAACGAAGCGCCACAGTCTCACCTAGGGCGTAAGGCTGTCCTGACCCCACGGCTGGCCATATCCATCGCACACCGTGGCAAATCAGGGTGTCGGGGTGAAACGCAGCGGCAGCAGCAAATGTTCGACACGGCAACAAATGCAAGAAACGATCGGCAGAGCAAGCGGTGAGCGTGGAAGACTGCGCTGACAACCCGTACGCTGTGCGACAAGGTAAACAAATCACGAGGTCAATTCCAGACGCGCACCTTTCCGAAACACGTATACCCGCACTTCCTACAACCGCCACCACCTCTTGAACAACCAAGCCACGCGACGGCATGCTGCCTTCCGAGCACGGAAAACGTTAAAATACTTCGACCAACAGGTGCATCGGGTGAGGGGCGAAAACCTTCGAAGACTCCAACGAGACAGAGATAGTTGCTCCTGTCGGTTTTGTCGTTTTCACAAAAAAGAGAAACTCCCATTCCGGTCACTGCGCCGTACCGCTGTGCATCGTATAGGCCAAACTGACGCTCAGACGTTCCACGGGAAGGTCAACCGCCCAAACAGGGTGCGCTATGATATATCAACGAGGAAGGAAATGTAGTGAACCAGAGCGAATCAACAGAAACACGCGCGATATAATTAATCAATGTCAGGCCGTAGTCAGCAAGAAAAAATATTCCTGTACCCTCCGCACTGCGAAATGTGCCGGCATCGACGTTCACAACTGCTCCAATCGTGCATTTCACAGCGCCTTGAGATTCGATCAACCTTTCCAAATGTGTACTGTTGTTGCGTCTTGGAATTCAAATCAACTACACAGCGGAAAACGTGGCTTCCAGCCGACCGCAGCTGCGCTTCAGAGCCCCAAAAAGAGCAGAGCAGCTTTCTCCTACGACGATGTGGTCGAGGCGTTGATTACGGAGACACTTGCTACTAAGACCGATGCCGCGGCCACATCATTGCCGGAAAGAAATGCCTTGCTCTCGTCGGCCCCCGAGAGCGCCTCTGCGTAGGACAGGAGGTGAAGTTCCTGCCGCTGTGCAAACGAACTGAGGCGGGGTGGGTTTTTGTTGCTGTTTTTACGTAACCGTTCCGGCCTCCGCTCAGTAACGGGCCCAACATACGCGGACGGCTTCCGTGGTCACAAGCCAACTACCCCTAAAAGGGGTACAGCTTTCTAGAAGCGAAGGTGGATGGGGAATGAAAAAACATGCATCCGCTGCGGTAGTGGAAGAGGCAGGGACAATGGGTCGGCGAGTGAGCGTGGACCAGTTACGCGTTTTACCTCATAATTGTAAATATCAAAAGAAAAGAAGCAATGTTGGTGTCGCTCAGAAGGCAAGCGCTTCACACAGAACCTCTCAGTTACTCCTGACAGTAGCCTTGCATTCCAAACACAGCCGACGCTGCCATCGACGGCACTGCCAAGCTACCCCCGCAACAACTCGGGTGCTGAAAAAAAATATCATAGCTCACCGATCACCCCTCCATTTGGTGCAAGGACGTCGCCCAATCCCGTCACTTTCAGGGAGAACTTGCTGTCCGCCACTAGAACGACCGCCTGCCACGCGTACCAAGTGAGAAAAGAACAAACGAATCAGACCAAAAGACGCACAACATGCAATCGATCGGGTTAGTACATATTGCCACGAAATCAAAACGTGCTTCCTGCGCAAACACAGACGGGCACACGGCACCTCGCTTGCTCAAAGTCAAATTACAGACGATCTTCCCTGACAAGGCTGGTCACTCAGAACGCCAAGGAGCAATCATCCAGGTCGTGGCATGGATTTTGCTATGAAAGCGAACGACATCGCGCCACAGCGTATACAGAATGGGCGGCCCGCAGTCAAGAAATATTTTGTGAAGAAACATGGGCTCAACGTGTCGCGAAAAGAAGAGAGAAAAGAATGTCGGTGAAGAAACATAGCTCAGGGGTGGGTCATATACCTAATTCTTTATCACAACCTGTGCTCGACTGTGGCGATAAAGAAAACCAAGAAACTGAGCCTAGAGCCGATCTTGACGCTTCTTATTTCCGGGCCCGCAATACTGTAAGCACAACAAGAGATACAGACGAACAGCAACCCCGACGACGATGGCGGCTCGGAAACGACAGACCATACGACATAGACCTCCCTCATAGGTTCAGGATGCGCGAAAAAGCTCCAGATACACTGGTAGCCTCTGTTCGTATTGCAACACAAAACATAAGTGACATGTCGTTGTGTAAAACGTTGGTGTGTTTACTTGCGAGTGTGCGCAGTTCCGCGCCTGTTTCGCTTCTCGCTGTCGGGCCACGCTTACATGCCAAGGCTGGACCATCTGCCTGTATGCGCTGCGGAATTAACATATGAACGCGTGACGATTGTCTGCCTTAGGGGGGAGCAACTTAGGAAGCGAACGCAGGACGCCCACGGGCTACGCTGGCGGGTGGTCTTGCTCACCTCTAGTCGGCGGAGATATTTGTCGGTCCTCCAGTCTTTCGCCAGGGCAACGCACGCGTTCATGAGTTGTCCTACAGGAATACCACAAACGATGGGGGGGGGGTTCGCTCTTGGTGTTAGGCGTTGTGCGATATAGTCACAACACTTGAGGCGAGCACAACACACTTACGTACGTATCCTCAACCTGCTGCTACTTGTAGCACGTTGCGTTTCGAATGTACATAGTTCGCCACGTTGCCGACGATCTATCAAAACGAGCTGTACCCTGAGGGGCTCTTCTCGGCAAATAAGCTGGCTGAGGCTGTTGTGCTGAGGCTGTTTCTCCCTTTCTGGTTCTGGGAGCTAAAAAAAAAAGGGAAGGGAAACACACGGCGGCACCCCAGGTTTAGGTTGGGCGCGCCCGATGCAACCGTGGTACCTCGGAGTGTTCCTATCTCGGCGCTCGGCAACATGCAATCCGATCTAAACGCGCATGGGCACAGCTGTGCAGTAGCCTTCGCAGGTTTTTCCGATTAAGTTGACATGTTCGATAAAGCATGCAATCGGTGAAGTTGGGGTAGGGGTAGGGATAGGGATAGGGTCTGCGTACCCCCTCCCTGTTCCATTTCCTCGCAAACGTAACTTCTCGCGAAGGCCGGTCCCCGCTGTGGGGGACGTCGTCTAAAGAACAAAAGACAAGAGACGTTAAGGGTCCCGTGAGCACCTTGGACGAACACCGGAGGATTGGGGTACCTTCGTGTTCCTCAAGCTTGCCCTCGAGGCGCTCCATGAGCGTCAAGGCGTCGGCCGTCGACCCGGCGTAGCCCGCCAACACGCGTCCGTCCCCCAGCTTTCTGACCTTGGTGGCGTTGGGCTTCACCACCATGTCTCCCTGGCTGACCTGCCCATCCCCCATCATGACCTACCGAACAAGATATTCCGCGAGTTGGTCGATGGAACCGCAGCACACGTAGAAAGCACAAGCTACAAACCTATTCCATAAATGCCCAACATGAAGGTAGTTTCCACAACCTGATACTGTGAGGGGCACTGCTGCACGCCTGAGATGAAGATAGTCTCCAAAACCTGATACTGTGAGGGGCACTGCTGTGCCATGACAGCTCTAAAGCTGCAGGCGCGCTTTGACAACGTTGAGACTTCACGGCATAGCGTTCCTCTCCAACTCATGTTCATGCTGCCACAGTTCCATGTGAAAACACAACACACAGCCAGGGTACCCCGTGGGATACAGCCAAGTCAGTATCGCGCGGCGTGAAAACAAGGGCATTGCGCTCTCCGCCGCTCGCACATTACGTCAGCTCTGCGGTGCATTCTGTACTGTAAACATGGTGTTGACAGACAGTCAGTCAGTAGGAGTGTCCCCGCTGAACCTGAAATTTTCGCGTGAGCCTCCTTTTTGCTGCGTGAAACTCACCACTTTCCCGTTCTTTCGGACGCACAAGATGGTCGTGCCGTGCATCTCAAGCCCCTGAGAAAGGAAGGAGGGGGGGCGGGGGGGGCGCAGACGGGGATGCCCACAACCTGAGACATGTCGGAGAATAGTCGAGACATAGAATGGGTTGTAGCGAGCCTTTCGGTCGTACAAAGCTACTAGAGACACCCATTTCGCGACCGTGGCGCACGCACAACCTCCGACTTTGTGTGTTGCTGTGGGGCTCTGCCTTTGATGCACGCTGAATTTCTTGGTGATCTCCGAATGTTTCGTACTCGTAGCGCCAAAAGAAGGCCAGGCGCCAGCAACCGAACTACTGCACACCGTTCTCTGAACAAAACTGGTGCTTTGACCGGGAGGCTGCCACAATATCTTACCGCTCCCCCTCGTTGTGCATGGTCCTACGCCTGCGGTTCTTGTGTCAGCCTTCCTACAGCGCCATTAGTAGCAACAGGGGTAGCTGCCATGGACATGTCAGACGTTGAACACAAATGTCAGGGTGTCCAACGGTGGTGTCGAGCCTCACCGCCACCGTGGCAGCTGTAGTCTACCCACACCTTCGCATGTGTCCTCTCAGCATGGCGTGCAACCTGATTGTTAGTCTGAATAGCCTCATTCTCACCGATGATGCCGAGCTGTGCATCCTCTTGCTCTCGGCACTGTTCCCAAAGGTTAACACCGCCGCCGCCGCCGGCTGCCGCATCAAAACGCCTCCCCGTCTTGCCGCAAGGGTGGCATCACTTCCCGCTGCCGGTCCTGCCGCAGCAGTCGCAAGCGACCGCACCGCGGCTGTCCTCGTCCTCGCCAATAATCCAAACATCGCTACAAAGGGGAATGGGGGCGGCGAGTGAGACGTGTGCGCGCGGAGGTCCCGAAACCCATGCAGCATGACACACATATGGCACTGCTGGATACTGCATTGTACGGGAAACAAGCGGAATCCTTCAACTACCATACAAGGTAGGGACAACCTGTTGCTCGGAGTCTAAACACCACAACTCAAACGGCGGGCAGGCGAGGGAGCGTAGCAGCAGCACAAGTTTATCAGAAAGTGGGCGCGTGGTGAGAGAGTCAGCCCTCTTCGGGTGGTTCTGGGGTCAGGCTATTACACAAACCTGGGGTTAGGTTACCGTGGGGGAAGGGTGACACACGGGTAATCCAGACGTACTGTGAAACAGGGAGCGGACACACACTGACGCCATTGAGTGCTTTCAGAAGGTATGCAAAACGCAAAACGCAGCCCTGTCCGCGGTAGTCCCGGACTATCAAGCACGTGAACGAGATGCCGCTGCGCTCTGTTGGCTGCTGCTTCTCAGTTGCTACCTCTACTTCCTACCCCTGCAGTACCACTGCTGTTTCACAGCAGTTGTAGACTAGAGCAGTACCGCGCTGCAACAAGGTTTCTCGGATGTGCTTTGTTCAGTCGGCGAGGTAATTGCTTCCAATCCACTGCCTGGCGCAGCAGCGACACGCTAACAGTCCGACAACGGTGATGCATTTTTCGTCCACCCATCCTTCCCGGTGCTAGTGCTGCTTTGCCTCACACGTAGGTAGAGTGCAGCAGTGACGGTGGCACTGCGAGCAGCCAGGGAGGTGACCGCGGGCTCGATAAGCCGCAGTTGGCATGCTCTGTCATAACCTTTGTCCTCACAAAAGCTGCATACAACAGCAACGAAGTCCATCACTAGCAACTCATGTCAGCACTACAACATTTCTTTTTGCATTGCACCTCACTCTGCCTCTTGCTCCTTGGTTGCTCGTTAGTAGTCAGTTGTGACGGCACGCACAGACTCACAGATCTGCCGCAAGGGGGCCGATGGATGGGACATCATCGAGAGTTGATAAAGATGGTGCGGCGTGTTCTTACTGGATTCAGCCTCCCCTGCCCCCGCCCGTGTGAGCATTCCGTGCGTTCTGTCTTCAGCCAGTCGGTCGACATTATCGCCAGGCGTAAGCGTATATCACTCTTCTCTCTCAGCAGGTGATTGTTTGTGTAGCGCGTTAGCTTCACGAAGACGACCGTCGTGGCGCGATACCTATTTGCTGACCCAAGTGACTCACGGCTTCGTTTTCTGCTGAAAGGGGTAAATACCTTGAGTACATACTTAGTGTAAGTACATTCCTTCCAACATACCAGTGTATATCTTTCCGGCATGCTTCCCCCCGAGGTAGGATCAAATCCCAACAAGTTGATCAAGCTTCACTTGATCCACTCGGCACGGCTTCGTCCACATCCACATTGCACGAACCAAAGTCTACGAATACGTGAATGTGGGCGTGAGAGCCGCGTTCGGTATATCGACGTCGTGCAGTATCGACGAAGAGAACATCGAAAGCACGGGCACCGTATATAACAATAAGGACAACACCAACGGCGACCTCTCGCAGTCGGAGGACGAGAAAACGACACTGTCCCTCTATTGGTCTTGACAATCCCCCACGCCCGCGGGTTGACCGTTGTCACTCGAACAACGCGCACCTCCCTGCTTCGCGGATGCACGTGGCCATTCTCGTGGAGATGCGCATGTATTTTCGGCAAGCGCAGGAAAGGCGCTTGGAAGGGAGACATTTGTGATTCTACAACTAGAATATGTATTGCTTTTCGGAGAAAAGCAACTTTACCTGTGTTTACAACGTCTCCTAGCCAAGAGGAAAAGCTTTGGCCGGGGGTGTTGCCAACCAACAGTCTTGCCTCAAATTGTCTGACTTGAAACCCCAAGCGAAGACCAAACGTGCCGAGATTCCGTTTGTCTGGATAACCCGACTTTTTGTGCGCCGCATCAATCTCGAGAAGAGCCAGGCTGCAAGCAGGCTTGTCAATCACACTATAGAAAGCGCTGGCAGGTCACGGTCTGAGCATAGCTTGTGCCTTGGACAATATCTCCTCCCGAATCTTGGGGTAGTCGGGGTATTGGGCGAGAACCTTGTTGCACACATCGATCGCCTCCACGAACCTGAGTTGCGACAGGCACCAAGACAAGAATACCACGGCACCCGAGCATGGCAGGGAGGCGGGGGAAGGGTGAGTCGTCGTGCCGTCACCTTGCCGGGGAGGACATGTCCGCCAAAATTGGGAGGTTGCTAACATGCCTCGACTAACACACGAGAGAAGTGATGAAAACACAAAGTGTAGCTACTGAAACATCAGACTTCGCCGTTCCTTTGCTGTCATAAATAGGCGATTTTGTTCGGGCAGCACCTGGAAGGGTATCAACTTGATCGCCTTCCATCTGTACATGTAGATGAAGTTGCTCAACGACGGCGCTGCACCTATTCGTTCCCAAGTTGACAGTCTATCTACACGCTGCCCTTGCCTTGAACACTACCACACAGCGCCACATAAATAGACTACATGACAAGGGTGATGCACTCCCGGGCATTCTGCCGAAGTTTCTTAATGGAAGAAATCAACTTCCTGGATTCCTACGAACGGCACATTTATGTATTTGTACCGTACCTTTTGGCCTTGAGATAGTTGAAGGCCAACTTGAAGCCACCCGCCGCGCCAGCCTGGTTCCCAAACTCCCAACTTTTCTCGTAGCACTCAGCAGCGTCCCTACAATGATGAACGATGCAAACAAATCACAATCCTTTTCGACTCCAAATAGTTCAGTCTTGTAGCTTCACAAAGTGATATCTGCGTTACGGTCAATGTTCTTCGTAGGCCAGAAACAAATCACCTCGATGTCGACATCTTCATGACGCCCGATACTACCGCACTCGTGATACTTGACGGTCGTACTGACCTGTAGCTCTGCTCCTTCTCCATGACCAGACCCATGGTCTCCCAGGCTTGTGAACAAGACTTGTTGTAACTCAGGGATCGACGACACAGGTCCTGGTGTAGTGTTGTTCATCGCGCGGGGCAACCAAAGTCTTGTCAAACGGAATAGGGGATCGAGTCACAAGCTACTTGATGAATGTAAGTCGATGGCACAACGTCAAGCAAATCGGAGGTACTCGAAACGATATTCGATTCCGGGCCCCGGAGCTGTACCGATCCCAAGGCCTCAATCACCTGTGCAAGATCAAATTTTCCCCTGTCGACGTAAAGATGCGCGAGATGCAGATACGCTTGCTCGAACTCTTCCGCACTCTCCAGCGTGTAGGGCATCTTGGCGATACGTTTCAAAGCATTTCGAGCCTGGGGTGGCAAGCGGTGCGGTTCACGATGAACGCGTTGGTGTTGTGACTCGCGAAGGATGCCGGGTGCTGGCGTGCGTTCAAGAGCTGTCGTGACTTGCTCAACCCGCTGTAGCTTTTTCCCGGCAACGAGGATCAAATGCCGTCCGCTCTAGACGCCAAAATTGATCCCCCGCGGACTAATGAAATTGGATGTGTTGAGAGAGCATCATCGCAACCGCCGTATTCCATCGCAGAAATCAGTGCGTCCTCGAGAACACGTGGAACATGCGACGATTGAATAAACGAAGCGTCATTTCGCAGCCCGACCTTGTTGGGAGAGTCTTCGAGAGTGAAGGCGAGTGACATGCCAAGGAGCGCCGGTACATTTTCCTTGTCATCCTCCAGCATGGACATGAACCCCGTCATGGCGGCGTCCACGCTCTCCTTGTCACGCGCCATCATCTTGACAGCGCTCTCCAGATATCTTCCACGCAAGGGGAGTGATTGGGAAACAGAAGGAGAAAACGGCTGCATCTCTCTTTACACCCTTGTCCTCGCCGCTTGGGAATGACTCCAATGCGCGTTACCAGTTGGTTTCGAAAAGCGATACTCGTGCTAGTACGCATGACCGCAAAGGCTGGATGTGTCAAGAGCCCCCCGGTCACAAGGTCTGTGTCGGGATCAAGAGCAGTTCCGAATGCCGCGTACCTCAAGCGTATGGCTGCCTTGTTTGTCCCCCCCGTTGCCCCTGCGCCGCTTCGGCTGTCTCCTCGGCTAATTTTCTGCAGCTCCGACAGGAAGAATCTCGCTATTCCCAGTGACTCCGCAGACCCCTTCCCTCCTTGGGGGGAGGTGGCCACCTCCCATAGGTGGTCGCCGTTCGGGCTAATGTAGATCTCGATCAGGTGCTCAAGCGCCTGAGCTCCCCATCTACGATGGTGCGTGACATGCAACCGGTTCTTGTGAGGAATATGGTCATTGCAACGGCGAAGAGCGCGCGAGCGCGCCGCGGACGGCCAAGGAAACTCAGACAATTTGTTCGGCATCAGCCTAAGGTGGGCTACTGAAGAATGCCAATGTCGTCGTTTATTTTACGGCCGTGCTTCCAAGAGAGCGATCGCAGACGTTGAAAATGGCACTGTGAGAGAAGAGGCCTCTGCGTTGTCTTTGTTGGTGCTCTAATTTCGGCTTGTAGTCTCCCCGCTATACGCTGATGCACTCACTCCCCATCCTGCCGCGCCCGGTTAAGCTGACGAACGGCCTCGTGCATGTTGTTGGTGTAGCGATGGTACAGGCCGCTGCAGAACCTAAGCCCGGCGTGCGCCGATGACCTAGGATCTCCTGCCCTTGCGAGTTCTAGGAGAGCCGGCACCTTGCGTGAAAATACGAATAAATGAAGAAATGAGCTTCCATGTCCTTACCTACCTACACAATCCCAAAGCGACGACGGGTTGCTGCCTACAGTAATGGACTGACGTACCTCGTTCAACTGTCCGGCCCGCCTGAGGAGACCTATGAGCTTCTGCAAAGCCTGGTAGTTGTTCGGTTTCTGCTTCAGCACAGAGCGGTAGCACTGGATTGCCTTCGCGTGGTCGGTCTTGAGGAACATCACCTTCAAGCACACGAATGTACAAGGGTGCGGTGGGGGAGGGGGGGGGTATGGAATGTTGAATACTTCGTCTCCACCGAGTGTTGTCCAATAATGCGTGCGTTGAGTGCCAAGTTTCTTCTGTTGGATAAGCATATGCTGCTCGAACCGCCGTATCATAGGGATATGCCTTGTAAGAAACATTGTTGCGCGGAGATTCCCTGTTTTCATGCTTGACTTGCGAACAAGATCGAACACTTCGCTTGTGCTTTTTCCGCCTATTCTCGGCCATTTCGTTAGGGAATTATTGGTCCCTAGCCGCCAACCAAATACATAGAATGGCTCTGCTACATAATGTGCTTGGTCAGCGATCCTTCACACCGGCGTTTGAAACATGTGTCTTGCCGCTCCTCCTTTGCGTTGTTACGTTCCCGTACCTCTCCAAGGATCATGGACACAGCTTCCCCGCTCCCGTCAGACACCCTGAGCGCTGTCTCGCATAGCCGCTCACACTGGTCCAGCTCATTTCTGTCAAACGAGACGGTAACCACCGTTCCATGCGAAGGCGTGGCTAACTGTGATCGTTTCCTCGGTATCAATCGAAGCGGACGTGCTCGTGTTCGAGAGAGGGGATTCCTAGTCTGGACACGACGATTCATAGCTATATGTCGCTACAGTTTGATGTGTCTCGCGGGATGACTGGGTACAAACTGAGAGAGTTAAGGTAGTACGTGGGCGTTGTGCAGACCTTCGGAGATGTGTCTTGGCCAGACCAACCATGCTCTCCTCGTTCCCCTCGTCTTCTTTTAGACTAGCACTGAATCGCTCGATCGCTCTGCGGGAAACATGTATTTCATTGAAGTACGTTTTAGCGATGCTGATCGTTCAATCGTTTTCCATACCGCGAATCCATTCTTCTCATTTCAAGCCAAATAATTCAGGTTCTCATTTATCTCACCGGAGAACTGCAGCTCGACGACAAGGCTTTTCTATCAGTTGTGTTTCGCATCAGCAGCAATTTCCATTCGCCACGTTCGGAATACCTTCGCACACGACCGACCGGTAG